AGAGTGGTGCGATTTTCAAGGTGCCACGTCAGATCTCATTTAATGCTTATCCCGTGTTAATTTCAAATTTCAGGGTTACATATAAAAGGGGAATCAAGGGTTCTTTCTCAGTTTACACTCACAAAAGAAAATTTCCCCAAATTGTGTCTGTTCTTCAAAGCTTCAAAACCCTAATCGTGGCTGCTCATGCTGGTGCTGATTCTGCATCCCGAACAACTGAAGACCTCACTTCCCAACCGATTATGAAGATTCAAAGCACAAATTATCAAGTCGAGGGGGATGTTTCTTTGTATCCCGAAGAATTGAAGATATTGATTGTCGCGTTGAAAAGCTCTATTCTTTCGACTGCTATGTTCAACTCGTTTGCTGTTCCTCTTTCATGGCTTTCACAAGCATGATCTACTGCCTCATACAACAAAGCTCTGGATGTCATTACATTTAATATGGTAAACGATAAGAAGGTTCGATTGACCAAGAAGTTGTTTTGTCAGATTCTTGAAATTCCTAATTCTCCACCGTACACTGATCTTTCATTTGCTCAAGTTCTTTATATGTTCAATGAGATGGGTCATTAACCCCCACTCACCAAGATCAGTGATTTTAAGAAATCTGGACTTCCAAGCATTTGGAATTTCTTATTTGGTATTTTTCTCCGATGCTTGACTGGTCGCAGTGTTGGACTCGATAAAGGGAGAATGGAAGTCTATGCAATGGTTACTGGTCTGTACTATGATATTCTGGTGGATTATTCGACTCAGATGTGGAAAGAGTTTCAGAAAAGTGTGGAGAACACTAATGTAGTTCAAGGAATTTCTTGTGCAAGATACTGGAGTTTGATTATTCGTTATGTCTATGAAAAAGAAGGGATTGATGTACCAGCAGATGAAGAGAAAGCTGATTTCTTGAAGTATCACTTTCCCAAGGAAGTTTCAGATTATGCTGAGGTCTTTTCGAACATTGCTCGAATTCCTGATGCAATGTTAAAACGGGTTGATCCAACCAATCCAGTGTTGGTTGAGTATTTGAAGACTATCAATCCTGATGACGAATCTGGAAAATTGTTATCAAAAGATGAGACTGGTCCTTCTAAGAAATCAAAACGTTCGAAGAAGGATGCAAAGGCTACTCCCTAGAAGCTTGTGCAAGAACCTAAGTCAAAGAAGTATCCGAAGAAACAGTCTATAATAGAGGAGCATGTTTCGTATATTGAGACAAAGTCTGTTGAGCCAACGAAGCCTGTTGAGCCTGTTATTGATGATCAAGTCAAGGAAACGATTCCATCGAAGTCTGGTGTTTTTAGAAGACTAAAGAAGTTAACTCGTGGTTCACGAATGTCTACAGATGGTTCTTCTCGGTTTTCTCCTACAATGGTTCGTAAACCACATCTTAATCACCAAGGGGTCCTTATTCGTGAGGTTCCAGCTCCTGTTTCGCCTTCATCAAAGAAATGAAGAGTTGAAGATGTGGCCAAACATATTTCCAAGAAGACGATAAAGAAACGGAAGTTGGTTATTCAAGAGGAATTGTCTGAAGAGGAGAAAGTTCCTGAAACTCCCGAAGCTACTCTTTCTAAATCGACTCCTGAGAAGACTGAGGTCATACCACCCAAACTTTCGTTAACCGAATCAGTTACTGAGGAGGTTCAAAATTCAGACATCACTACACATGTATCTGATACGGATGTAAATGTCAACATGGGTGAAGGAGTTTCGAATATAGAGCTTCCATTATCCACTCAAGGTATTCCTGCTTTATCTCACATTGACACTAGTGTTTCTTTGCCACCTTATATCATCCATGTTTCGAACACCACACACTCACCTACTTTTGAGCTTGTTATTCAACATCCGTTTACCACACTTTTCTCATCTCAATCCACTGATCCACCAAAAGATGTTGGTGAACCTGAAACTGATACTGACGAAGGCGGTTTTGGAGGAACTTTTGGAGATTTGGAGTTTGATGATGAGGAAGATAATTTTCCTGATCATATGTTGATGTCCATGAAGAAATTCAAGATTCTAAACAAGAAGTTGAATTCGATTATTCAGTCTCAAGCTGACATGGGGGGAAGTCAATCTGTCTCCAGTTTAGAAATTGATGTAATGATGAAAGCATTCGAAGCCAAGATGATTAGCAAAGTTTCTGGAATGATTCGAGACTCGGAGTCTAGAATCTTAGAGAATGTGGACCATCATGATCAGAACAGTGAGTTATGAGTGAACTCTACGTCTGCTAATTTTCTGCATGAAGTACAAGAACTAAAAACTGAGGCCAAAGAAAGACATACCTTATTCGTTCTTGATGTGAAGAAAGTTCGTGAAGATGTTAATCTCAAGCTTCAAGAACTTCGTGAAGATATGGTGAAAGATATTGCTAGTGCTCAGCAAGACTATGCATCTCTCAGTCAGAAGGTGGATATTATTTGTGATGCTATCACAAAGTATGTTAAAATGTACGAAAGTTTGAGTCCTCAACTTACTCAACTTTCTACCACTAGATAGCCAAAGTTTTGTGGAGGTCATTACTCTGCTAAAGGAGCTGAAAGAATTTTTCTAGTCAAGCCTGTTTCCTCTTTGATCATTACACCAAAATTCTTGTCTCATAAGTTTTCTCAATTCGAAGCCGTTTTGCATAAACAGTTGGCTCCATTGTCCATGATCTCAAATCTTCTACCAACAGATGCCCCACCTGTTACCACAGGGGTGCAAGGGGGAGAAAAGAAGGTTGGTGATGCGAAGGTTGGTGGGATTTTGCATGAAGATATTAAGATTGTTGACAAAGTTTATTCAACAAAGATTCCAACAACAAAACCAATTCTTTCTTATGCTGGTCCAGCTACTTCAACAGTTATTACCACGATACCAATTACAAGGCCAATTTCGAAAGGAATTGTGATTGGTTCTTCTGCTGGAGGTGGTAGTAGTTCGAAGCCAAAAGAAGTTGTTGATAGCTCTTCGATCAAAGACAAAGGGAAAACATTTTGATCGAAAAAGTCGAAAGAGGAGAAGAAAGCTGAAGCTGAATCTGAGTTGGAGAAATTAAGAGTGGTTCAACGCATAATGAGACTTCGTGAAAATGATACTCCTGGAATGGACAAGGGAGATCCTTCTAAGCATTACAACTATGAAACAAATGAAGCAAAAGTGGCATTCAACTGAAGTTTCTTTGTATCCCGAAGAAATATGGTCACTTATGAAGATAAAATAGTGATCAGTATGATGACTACACATACATGAAACTCAGGTTTCATGTTTTTCTTGGGAAAGCTCTAGAGGAAATATGGTCACTTGTGAAGATAAAGAATGTGATCAGTATTAAGAAGGATGTTATGTTCGAGAATTTGATGCAGAATTTTCGTTTCTTTGTTACAAGGGCGAATGGTCAAGTCTGTGATTTCTCTGTGGCTAATTTTTCGTTGATGAACTTGTATGATCTTATACAAGTTGCATTGCTTTTAAAAGATAAAGATGCTTCGTATCTTCGAGAGACTAATCCAGAAGTTTTTCGACTTGGGCTTGCTCACATCAAGATATTCATGGACAACTACTATGAATGTTTAGCACTAACTGATGTGGATTTAGCAAATGCGAAGGGATTGGAAGTAAAAGCTCCCATGGAACCAACGAAGTCTCAAGTTGAGTTAAAGAAGTATGTAGATGGGGAGATATACTTGAAGCCATTTGGAATGGTCTTCGCAGGGAAAGATAAGAATGGAAAGGCCAAGAGATTTTTGTTCCAGGCATGCGAAGTGGAGAGATATACTACATCCCAGTATACGAACTTTATTGTTTGTATGAACAACTGCAAGAAGAATAATCCAGGAGACAAGCAAGAGTTGAAGAAGATTATTTCTTGGAACACAGAAATTCGAAGGGTGATGCTGTATGCCATACAGATTCTTACGAACTGAAGAAGGTCGACATTATTACAAAGGGGGAGATTGTAAGGGTCGAAGACCTGTTGTAATATGTCGAAGACTTAAAGTTATTTTACAAGGCATTTTGTAACGAAGCTTAGAAGTTTAGTCCTTGTAACTTTTTGTGTGCTTTCATGTTTCCTATAAATAGGGGCATTACTTAGAGTTAGATAAGAGTCTTTGTACGAACTTGTCTACTTTCTCTCTGCAAGAATTGAAAGCATAATAGAGCTCAAACCAGATCATATTTACATCGTGTGTTCGAATTACATTTTTGTTACTCTGATTTGTTACATTCTCGATTCATCACTTCATCAGTGACACCCCACGCCTGAGCTGTTCGCTATAGTTAGACTAGGCCAGTCTAGGGTAACAAACCTTATCTTAAAACAAGCCGGCGTCTGTAAAACGTCATGACAGACGGATCAGTCATTATCAAGTATGGTTATAACGACTCACATAGAGAATAACTTCATTATAAATTTACGGAATACACATACGGTTCTAACGATACATAAATACTCATACATTGAAACTGGGTATTTGGGTTTTAAGACCACAACATTCTTTATAAACAGAAAATATCGGATTTTCTGGGAAAAACATACAAATATACCAAACCTTCTGCTTACAACAGAAAATATAGGATTTTCTGGAATGTTCACTTTATACATTTTCAAACAGTAACACACATGCATTAATACAAGATCTGACACAAACATTTCAAACCATTTTTCAAAAAATATCGGATTTTCTGGCATTCACAAAGAAATACAAAACTGTTTATTTAAACATGCTTATGAACTCACCAACATTATATATGTTGACGTTTTCAAATTAACTTGTATTCTCAGGAAACCGTTAAGCAGGTGGACTTCAAGAACATGTTAATTTTGTTCTACTTGTTTTGCTATTATATACATTATGTTGTTGGCATGTAACTTATAATACAATACTTGATGTAAACAACGACAGTTGTATTTTTGAATGTATGATGATGGTGTTTGTCATGTTTCATTTATATTCACTGTGATGATATTCCAAGAAGAAGTCACCCAACCCCCGGACATTTCCGCCGTTTCTCCGGTTCGGGGGTGTGATAGATTGGTATCAGAGCAATGTTTATAGTGAACTGGCATATCTAGTCATACAAGATATGCAACTATAAATACATTGGGACTAAAATACTTTGAACAAAATAAAATAAAATTCATACCTATGTGAGTATATATGGTAATAACATAATAAGAAACCATAAAAGTCTTTGGAGGATTTGAACATTTTAGTTAAACCCGGACAGTTATGTAGTCGTGTTGGGGGTAAATGTAGCCTGATCAACTGCATTTATTCAAAATACGACCAACATGTGTTAAGGAGTAATCATGATGGTCAATGAACCAGAAACTTACCATCTAATGATCCAAAAAGCTTATAGAAACAAACGTCACAATTAAAGTATTATAGAAGTATTTTAGAATGCTAATTATAAACCCTCCTCACATACTTCTCACATCTCCGTTTCTCGCGTTGTCATCATGGAAGAGTTACAGCAGGGCATCCTTTACTATCAAGCCTTGGTGGTCAATGGGATGATCGAGGAAGGACCTGGTATGTTTCAAGGGGCAGATCCAGGTTTAGGACCTAAGGAGTATGTGGAGACAGACTGTGAGTACGAGAAATCCGATGAGGAGACGGAAGAAGTAGGGGACATGGAGGAAGTCCCTAGTGAGCCTCACTCTTCAGAGATGATACAGGACCATCCCGCAACATCAGAGGATTCCACTGATCGGACACGCTCTGTCACACCCCCAACCGAGGCGGCGGAACGCCGGGCTGTATGACTATTTCCTTGGATCACAGGCAAATTGAATATATAGCACAAGTACAACAATAAACAAAATAACATTCATGTTCCATCTTGATATTTGAATACAATGTTTCTACAAATAAGAATAATACATCAATTGCCTTAACATGTAGGCATATAATACAACAATAAGTAAGCTAGGTCACCTGTAATCCAATCTGTCTTGAAAGTCTGTTTAACGATTTTCTGAGAATACATGTAGTTTTGAAAGTCAACACAAAGGTTGGTGAGTGTCACAGGTTTTCTGCTAACGCAGTAATACTTTTAATAAGTCTAAAAATTATTATCTTTGTACGTATAACGATAGTTAAAAACAATGTTTGCAATGAGTCTTTAAAAGCCAAAATGTATCTTTGTATACGTAAATCCATACATAAAAACTATATTTGTAAAGAATATTTGAATATATACTTGAAAACCATACTAAACTGTACCATAAGTAATTATATACTTAAAAATAGTTTTGAAAGCAACCAAGCTCATAATTGCAGTGAGAGAGAGAGAGATATTCTAGTTAAATGTTTTTAGTGAGTCCTATAACCGAGCTACCTGACTGATAATACCCCCTACAACGCTTCATTGGACGTTGTAGTAATGATAGACACTTATCACCCGCTTTGATTAATCAGTCGTGGGTTGTAGCTAGCAACCGCAGGTGGGGATGTCAACCCCGTATAGATCTATACATATGTATCTCGCTCTGAAGATTAACGGTTATAGAGTGTGGGTATGCTAAGTATTTAAACTCAACTAATGAAAACTGTCTCACTAAAACCCCTTAACTAAAAAGTTTGTGAATAACTCTCAACCCTAACTTACTTGTGGGTAAGTCACTAGGCATAATGAATATCGTCGTATAAGGTTTATAAAAGCCGAGTATGTTTGACATATACGTAAAAATGTAATTGTACTCGCTTTTATAACAATGAATGTTTCAGATTAACGAACATATGTACATGTATCAACATGGTGTACTTAAACATAAAAATAAACATGTTTAATAATAGCTTTGAATCCTTGAAATACTACAGAGTTTCATAACGTATTTGTTATAATATGAAATGTCACATAAAAATCATAAAACTTTGTATAATGTACTATTTGTTGTGTGAACTGAATATTTCACGATAAAATAATCATAACACGTATACGAAAAGTTTTCACTGGTTTATTTTTAACAATATGTTAAATTGTTAAATAATAATATTTTTTATAAACTATGTTTATTGTATTTTTCGCATAAAAGATAATATATTTGTATAAACAAAATATATAGGCACATGTATTCCCCCTGAAATAATTAAAATATTGAAAAGGGGCCGTAAGCACTCACATTCGTAGCGTGAATGAGGCTCGAGGTGTGAATATTGTACTGAGATTTGTTACGTGGCGTTCCTCGTTCTTAAAATGAACCACCATGTATATTTATATTTCCTAATAAACCAAATGGTAGTTTTTGTATTATTTATTAAGTAAGTATATAGTGGTCTTTGTGAAAATAAATAGACTCTAGGGTTTCATTTTCCAAAATCATACTTCGGGGACTGATATTGAGAATTAATCTCAAGACAGGGGTTAAACATGTGTATTTGAAACTGTTTTAGGGTTTTAGGACTTGATATATTAGGTTTTTCTGAGGGAGAGACCAATTTTGTTTATTTTAAAGAAAGTTTGGTTCTTGGTTTGACCCTTGACTTGGTCAAAATCAGATACCATTTGTTTTATCGGGGCTCCAAGTCCGATCCACATAAGTGGATCCATTTACAAAAAGGATCAGGCTCTTACCCCTGGTTTATTTGTCTGATCGGGTAAGGGATATGATCCATCCCAATTGAAGCCACGAAGGAAAACAGAGGCAGCCGGGCAATAGAACGAATGCGGCCGAACGAGAGGGGAACACGAGGGAAATCGAAGGCGACAATCGGGTGGGGTCTTTGATCCATCGTCTGATTCGAGAAAGGATAAGTATAACCGAACTTAGTAGCAATCTCCGATCCCACGTATGGCACCACCATTGCTTGGCTTGGTTGGGGAAGGAAGAAAAAAGCGATGGCAGGTGCGGTGGTCGATGGTTCTATAGGTGTTTGGCTGTTGTTGATTGTCAGAAAGAACGAGGGAGGAAGGAGTTGCAGCCATCGACGTGGGTGGTGACAATCAGCATCTCCGATGCGCTCTTCTTCCCTTTCCTTCGTCACCAGTAGTCATGTTTTGAGGGGAAATCAGATCCTGGATCCTTGACTGATCGAGATGGGAGAAACAATAAGGGAAAACGACCATTAGTGTGGATGTTTGTGGTATTTCTTATCAGATCGTAAGGAGGGCAGCCACCGGGGCAGAAAAACCCAGTGGAGACCAGGTAGCAGCGATCGGCGGTAGCATCACCGCTTCCTTCCTCTTCTCTGGCTGAAGTAGACCGGAAACAACCCACAACAGCAACAGTCGACGGTGGCTAACAGGTAAAAGAAAGTTCTTTTTCTCTTTTCTGTTGTGGATTGAAATCGATGGGGGTATTTGAGATGTTTGTTCTTGATTATTTTTATAGAAAATTGATGAATGGGATGATTATTTTGATAGGAATCGATGTAGGGAAAAATGTTTGGGTTTGGTTGTTGACAGAAATCGTTAGGTTGTTTGGGTTGGGTGATTCAAAGAAATTGAAGAAGGGAGAAACAATTGTTTTGTTGTTTCATTTGACAGAGAAGGAGGAGTACAATCGGGATTGTGAAATCGACCGGAAAGAAGAAAAGAAACAGAGGGCGTTGCTGCCCTTGATGGTTAGCTGAAATACTTATGATCAACACTTCCATTTGGAGGTGTTCTAGGTTGGGAATGAAGGTGCAACCAGATACAAAAGGATCGATCAATTTTTCTCTGTAAGGGTTTTATTTTTGTTTGATTGTTTGTCAATTAGTATTTGATGAGTAGAAGCAATACCATACAGGTGCTTTCCTTACCTGCCTGTGAACTGTGTGTGAGCTGTATTGCAGGTGAAAGGAAAACGTGGGACGGAATGGGAGAAAGGTGAAGTGTAATTTGAGTGTTTAGGAAAGAAGGTGAAAAGCACTTGCACTTGCACACGAGTGATCAAATTTTGTTGTACAATAATTGTATAATCAAATTTGTAAAATCAGTATTGTAATTGTTTTATTATTATTATTATTGTATTATGTATTTGGTTCTTTATGAAATATGCATATAATCTGTAATTAAATAATTTTTCTATGTATTTTATGTATGCATTGGTTAAATTGGAATGTGGAGAAATATAATATATTTAACTTGTTTTCTTTTATCCATAAATGGATATATATTTGATTAGACAATCTTATTAGTATACACATGTATGTATACTTAACTTTTACAAATCATGTCTTGATAAATATAGTCTATCTTTATTTTATTATGAGTTTGTTACATAATTTATGTAATAACTATGTATAAAATTAAGCTAATACGTTGGAAAATGTAGAATCATTAATTTGTTAAACATTGGTTTCTTAAATTAAAAATTATAAGAGTATTTTCATTATTAAAATTCGTTTTAACTGGTTTGGATTTTTATATTTTTCCGAAACACATCACCAATCATATAAATCATGTCGAAATCAATGTTTTAATGTTTCGCGGTTAATAAATCTAAAAATGTCTGATTTTTCAACTTTTATAGATATTTTTATCAAAGATATTTCAAATATGAAATTAAATATTAGGCAATAGCCTGAATCCAAAAATGCTTTCAGAATTTCTATTCGAGGTACGCAAGTCCTTTAATGGTTAGAAACGGTTTTTGATAGTTTTTAAGAAAATCAGTATTTTACTGGTTTTCGATTCTTAAAACGGTCGTATCTTTCGCATACGAACTCCATTTTGGACGTTTTTTATCTTTTCGGAAACAGGGGAACGAGTTCTACGAGACTAGAGTGTTTGTTTTTCTCACAACGGCTTAATATGAAATTTCAGTTTTTCAGTCGCACTCCTAATGTTGTCGTTTGAGCTGTTTGATTTATTTGCCAAATTAAAAATTTGGAAGTAAGATACCGTTTGTTATCTTATAATAGTTGAAATAACTCATTTATTATATATTAGATGCACTAAAACTTAATGAGTCAATTTGTCAAGAGACTTACAGTGAACTTGACCGTTCACAGTCTTTGACCTAAATTTCGGGATGTCACACGCTCCTTGGAGGAGGAGATTACCTCCCTCATACAACATCTTTTCGCAGCGGAGGCTCGAGAAGTGCAGGCAGAGCATGAGAGGGACGAGATTACTCGGGAAATGAGTGAGCTGGCTAAACTTGTGGTGCAACATTTCGGCATTTGATTTTCTCACCACGACTAGGATCGGCTTCATCCAATACCACTACTGTTATGATTTCCTTTTGTGTACTACTTTATGTACTACCGACTTCATGATTAAGTGATTACACTACTCATGGAGTCGTTATGTTGTCGGATTGTGTACTATCTTTATGTATTGTATGCCTCTTAAGGCAAATTTTCATGTACTAAAAATAGTTATTACTAGTAAAACAATTATGTGTTTTATCGTGATGTTGTTATCTGCTATGTGATCTATTATCTTTATTTCATGATATTATATGAAATCACTTATATGCACGACCGAATCACCGAAACCATTATAAAGGATCTCGAGCCCAAAATATGCTATGCGCTTATTGTCTTTCTGTGCTTGTGACAGAAGATATCTCGAAGGAATCTGCGTAGGAACAAAAACGCAGATGCACCACCACCACCGCCTCCACCAGAGGTGAACTCTACTGCATTTCAAGTAGCAGTTTCAGATGCAGTCACAGCAACACTGTCACACATTCACAACGGAAATAGCAGTGGTGGTAACGGGCAAGGAACTGGAAGCTCGAACCACGGGATGAACCAAGGACCTGCAAAGGTCTGTACTTACAAAAACTTCACTAATGCCAAACCTCGGACGTTTAATGGAACTGGAGGTGTGATAGCTGTTAAGCGGTGGATAGAAAAAGTTGAATCGGTTTTTCGAAATCTGCGGATGTCATGAGGAATGCAAAGTGAAATTTGCAGCTTGCACATTTGTCGATCAAGCGTTTTCCTGGTAAAATGGTCATGTGGAGGCCATGACACTCCCTGTGGAAAATGCTATGCCATAGGAGGAGCTTAAGGAGATGTTAATGGCTGAGTACTGTCCAAGAGGGGAGATCCAGAAAATGGAGCAGGAACTGTGGAATCTCACAGTACAGAACTCGGATATTGATGCTTACATCTCAAGGTTTAGTGAATTGTCACTCCTATGTCCGGGTATGATCACATCCGAAGGGAAAAAGCTTGAAAGATTCGTTTAGGGATTGACCTCCCGAATTCAAGGGAATGTAATAGCAGCAAACCCTGAGGTGTATGATAGTGCTAAGAGACTAGCCAAGAAGTTATACGACCATGGAAACAAGAAGGGTGCCAAAACTGGAGAAACTGAAGTCAATAAAGAGGGAAACAACAAAAAGGAATGGAATAACAAAAGAAAAGGAAGAAAAAACCAAGGATCATCAAAGAAGCAACAAACTGTAGCAGTCCACGCTGCTACTGCTCAGGTTGCGCCAACACCACCTGCTCCAGTCTCATCTATGCAAACAACCACCAAACCTTACACAAGAAACCTACCAAAGTGAAACATATGCAATTATCACCACCATGGAGAATGCAGAGATATGCAGTGTACAAACTGCAACCGTAAGGGTCATACCGCTCGGTAATGTAGATATCCACCTCAACCAAACCAGCGTCACAACAACAACAACAACGCAGGAGCGAGTCACACTTGTTATGGGTGTGGAGGAACATGCCATTATAGACGAAACTGCCCCAAAGCCAATGCTCAAGGCGCTGGAGGATCGGGCAGAGTCCTCGCAATAGGGCAGGGTGAAGCGGTTCAGGATCCAACCGTTGTCACTGGTACGTTCCCACTCAACAACATCTTTTCATGCATTTTGTTCGATAGTGGTGCTGAACGAAGCTTTGTGAGTAATAAATTTAAACACATATTAAACCAACAACCCCAGAAGCTAAGTGAAGCCTTCATAGTGGAGATGGCTAATGGGAAAACCGAAACAACAAAAGACATATACATAGGGTGTACACTCACATTAAATAATCATTCATTCCAAATCAATTTGATGTCGGTAGATATTAGGAGCTTTGATGTGATTATAGGCATGGATTGGTTAAGCCCCCACCATGCCGACATTATCTGCCACGAGAAGGTCATTCGCCTTCACCTCCCTAATCAAGAAACCTTAACCATCTACGGCGACAAGCCGGGTGTCAATCTCCGTCTCATCTCGTGCATCAAATCACAGAAGTGCTTTCACAAAAAGAACCAAGCATTTCTCGCTCATGTAGTGGATAAGATAAAGGAAGAGACGAACATCAACAATATCCCAGAGGTATGAGATTTTCCCGATGTGTTCCCTGAAGATCTCCCAGGGATACCATCTGAGAGACAAATCGAATTTTGAATTGACCTTGTACCATGGGCAATGCCAATTGCCAAATCACCATACATACTGGCTCCCGCTGAAATGCAAGAATTATCAAGCCAGTTAAGCGAACTCTTGGATAAAGGATTCATCAGACCGAGTTTCTCACCATAGGGAGCTCTGGTTCTGTTCGTCAAAAAGAAAGATGGGTCCTTCAGAATGTGCATTGATTATAGGAAGTTGAATAAGCTCACTATCAAAAACCAATACCCACTTCCACGGATCGATGATCTGTTCGATCAGATTCAAGGGGAAAGCTATTTCTCTAAAATAGATCTGAGATCCGGTTATCATCAACTCCGAGTCCGGGAAGAGGATATTCCGAAAACTGCCTTCCGAACTCAATATGGCCATTTTGAATTCGTTGTTATGCCTTTTGGTCTGACAAATGCTCCTGCAACATTTATGGACCTCATGAATCAAGTTTGTCGTCCATTCCTTGATAATTTCGTAATCGTATTCATTGACGACATTCTCATATACTCTCAAAGCAAGGAAGAGCACGACCAACACCTGCGAAATTTTTTGGAAACACTCAGAGCAGAGAAGTTGTATGCGAAACTCTCCAAGTGTGAATTCTGGATTCGCAAAATAAACTTTCTGGGTCATGTGGTTAGCAAGGAAGGGATACATGTGGATCCTGCTAAGATCAAGGCTATTGAAGGTTGGGCAACTCCAAGAACGCCAACTAAAATTCGACAATTTTTGGGTCTTGTAGGCTACTATAGAAGGTTCATACATAACTTTTCCAAGTTAGCCAAACCTCTCACCACCCTAACCCAGAAGGATGTACCATTCAATTGGAGTACCAAGCAAGAAGCAGCTTTTAAGACTTTAAAGCAAGCTCTCTGCAGTGCTCCGGTGTTGTCCTTTCCGGAAGGAACCGAAGACTTTGTGGTGTATTGTGATGCATCAAACCAAGGGCTAGGTTGTGTATTGATGCAGTGTGGAAAGGTGATTGCCTACGCATCCAGGCAACTAAAAACCCACGAAGTAAACTATACTACGCATGATCTCGAGCTAGGAGCAGTGGTCTTTGCCCTTAAAATATGGAGGCACTACCTTTATGGTACTGAGTGCACCATTTTCACGGACCACAAGAGTCTCCAACACAATTTGAACCAAAACGAATTGAACCTGAGGCAGAGAAGATGGGTTGAGTTGCTAAATGATTATGAGTGCGAGATCAAGTATCACCCAGGCAAGATGGTAGCTGATGCCTTAAGTAGGAAAGAGTACTCGGGTCGCCGAGTAAGGACGCTAGCTATAACCATCCATTCCCACCTAACCTCGCAGATCAAGGAATCTTAATCAGAGGCCATGAAGCCGGAGAATGCCGCAAATGAAACGTTGCGTAGGATGGATAAGAATCTTGAAATCAAAGAGGACGGAGCTTTCTATTTCATGAATCGGATCTGTGTCCCAAAATTTGGGGGATTCAGAGACATAGTCATGAACGAAGCTCATAAGACGCGATATTTCGTCCATCCAGGTTCCGATAAAATGTACCTAGACATCAGACAACATTATTGGTGGCCAAATATGAAGGCAGAAATCGCTACTTACGTGGGCAAGTGCCTCACTTGTGCCAAGGTTAAAGTGGAAA